TCCCTCTTAATTGATTTGCTTCGATCGTTCCTTAATGCCAGTGAGCAGGAGTTGGGATGATTTTTCTCCCTATTCTATGCAAAACTTTAACTGAAAAAAAAAATACTAATAAAACCAAAAGAGAGGAATAAATAAATAAGTATAAAGGCAAAGTGCGACTCCCGACCAGAGCCGGGCCCGCTCACTGCCACCTGGTCCCGGTGCGGGGCAGCGCCCGCCGCGGGGATGCAGGGGCTGATGCTGGGGGGCACCGGGGCCGCTTTGCGGGCGGGCAGGGAGTGGAGCCGCCGCCGCGCTGGCCCCGCGACAACAAAGCGGCTGTAAAGGCTCCAGGTGGTGGCTGTGTTTGTTGTGCTGTCTGCGAGGTGCGGTGGCTCCTCGGCCCCGGCAGATCCCAGTGCTGCTGTGGACATTAAGACAAGTCTCTTTGGGCTGATCCCAAACCCAGATAAGGAGCCGCCGAGCCACCAGCTCTGTCTAGACTCCGGACCTCACAAGTCAAGCGGGTTGTTTGGATTAGCCTTGGAGATCTACCGACCTGAACAGCCCTCCCAAAGAAAAGCCGCCGTAACACCCTATTTTCCTCTTCCTATTGCCGTTCGGGGTCTGCCCGGAGATAGGAGCGGAGCTCTGGTTTGCTTCGTGTCACTTATTTCTGGAAAACCCTTCAGCCCCCCTCTTTCCCACAAACACACCTTGGCGTGTTTTGTCTGCCGGCAGAAAAGAAAACAGAAAAGGAAAGACACTCTGCAGCAAGAATCCTGTTTTGCAACCTTCCACCTTCCTTCCCCGCTCCCCTAGACTCCCCATCCCGGCAGAACTCCCGGGCTACAGATAATCTACGAGCCACCAGAGCAGCGCGGAGTTCTGCGCGGCTGGTGCCGGTGCCGCCGGCCCGGCCCAGCCCGACCCGGCGCCGCTGTTGGCCGGCTCCGCTCTCGCCCTCGCCCCACACGACCCCAGAGCACTTGTTTGGTGCCGCTCAGCGGCGGGCAGAAAATTCAATAAAGTGAAATAAGAATCTCATGTAAAAAGCCTCATCCTCTGTCTTTCATCTCCGCAAAGACCATCTCACAGACCAAAGCTCCGGCTCTGGGAACACTCCCTTCAGCTTAGCACCCTGTGCCCCGGTTAGTGACAGTGTCCTATAGAGAACCCTAAAAGAGAACCCTATGGAGAGCCCTATGGAGAGGCCCGACCCCCCCGCGGGGCCCGCGAGGTGCAGAGTGATCCCGGCGCGGGCGGGACGCGGCAGCTGCGAAGTTTGTGTTTGTGGCGCCTCGGCTCAAACCCCCATTCAGTGGCTCGCTCCTTTATCAAGAAAACAACAATCAGGGACAATCAGTAACCGGGATCTCCTCCTGGGCCCTCTATTAACTGCTCGCAGCTCCGCCGCAGCGCCCAAAGCTCCCGGCAGTGGCTCCGCGCCCTGAGACGCGGTTAAGGACGGACAGACGTGACAAGGGACAGACGTGAGCGAGCACTTGACGCCCGTTGTTCCCTAGCGGGCCATTTGGGTGCGGGTCGTGCTTTGGGACACTCAAACTGCGGGGCTTTAGCAAAAGTGTGAGCGAGGCTCACACGCCTTGAGCTGATAGCGAGGCGGAGCGGCTCCCATTTCCCCCCTCCTGCCCGCTTTTGAGTGACCTGACGTGGATTTATCTTTCTATCTATTTATATTCCTATGTATATAAAGTCAAGTACTCACCACTGATACGTGACAGGTCTGAAAGCTGGAATTCAGCGCTCCCGCTCTCCCGCGTTGTTCTTCTAAACGGGCTGGAGATGCGGAGGTCTGTTATTAACCTGGTGCAAATATTGAAATGAGAAGTGAATAATGGTCTCTCTGTACACAAACAAAATTCACAGAGAAATTATAGCAGTCCTTAGGAAACCTTGTTTGTTGTTATTAAGAGAGGCTGCAGCAAGAAGAAAACCAGGGCACACGGTTTGGTTAATTATCGCCCTCCCCCGTGCTCAAAAGAAAGAACAGCACGAGGACACGCAAAGAAAGGATATAAGGACTTGCGTTTCCAAAAGGATATTTTCTCTCGCTTGCACTAATCTCGCTGCCTTATCTCACAAGCGGTGTTTTCCTGAAGACACTAGGAGGGACTGCTGAAAAAAGTCTGGGGGGAGGGGAGAAGGAATAAATAAATACATCACGAATAAATGAAATGAAAAGGGGGACCAAAGGCCAAAAAAACCCTTCAAAATATCAAAATATATGGAATAAAATGAGGATTCGTGCGAAAAGAAACGGGAGATGGGGGGGAAGAAGAAGAAAGAAAG